TCCAGGGAATGTTGATTATGGGTATTTAACTTTCCATATAGACGTTTCTTTTTACATTGTGTAATGATTTTCTGCTGATGATGTAATAAATTCCACAAACCTGGTGGCTTAGACAATATGAAATTATTATCTTACAATTCTGTAGGCCAGAAGTCCAACATGGGTCTCTCTCTGGGCCAAGATGTCAGCAGGGCTATGTTTTCAGAGGCTTTTGGAGAGAATCTATTCCCTTGTTTTTTCCAGCTTCCAGAGGCCTCCACACTTCTTGACTCACAAACACCTTTCTCCATCTTCAAGGCCCATAATGGCCGGTCTAGTCCTTCTCACATCGTGTGTTTCTTTGACTCCTCTTCCATTGTTACATCTCTCTCTCTCTGACCACCGCTGGGAAAGTTTCTCTACTTCTAAGTATGAACTCACGTGATCAATTAGATTGGGCCCACAGGATAATTTCCCACCTAAAGCTCCATAACCTTAGTCACATCTGTGAAGTCCCTTCTGCCATGTGAGGTAACATAATCATGGGTTCTGACAATTAGGGTATGAACTCTTGGCTGGGGGGTGGGGCGGGCATTATTCTGCCGACGACACGTTGCTTGGAAGAGCTATTAGTATAAGGTCCATACCTCATACCTCTTTGTATTACCTGTTTCCTGCAAATGGTACCGAGGTCAAGAAATGCTGTTGACCATAAAAGAAATATCTAACTTGCCAATTACTTTTCACTGGTAAAGAATATTCATACTCCTCCTGGAGGAAACGTAATGTTTCAGGACATCGTGCCAGCCATACGTTCCACTCATTCTTCTTCCCCTTTTTCTCCTTTCCTCAAGACATAGAATCGGTCACTGTTATTTCCATAGCTTACATCGACTTGCACAGGTTTATCTTTCTGGGCCTTAGTTCTCTCACTGGTAAAATGAAGAGGTTGGAGTAAATTAGCCCCAGGTCCTCATCAACTTTCATATCCCTTGATTCTCTGATCCTTGAACACAAAAACTCGTCTGGTTCGAATTCTTGCCTCCTGGAGCCATTTCCCAAAGCAGGTCATCTCTGCCGTGTAGAGATGCTCTGTTTCAACTTTATCAGTGCTGAAGACCTGCTACCAGGCAGCTCGTTCCATTCCTAACTCCGATTATCAGAAAAACTTTTCCTCATACTAAGTAAAAAATATGACTTAACCTCTCTAACCCCCAATTCATTTACTCAGAAAATGGAGATTAAAAATATCTACCCCAGAGAAGTTGAGTAATTCAAATAATATACTTGAAAGTACTTCTCAAAAATCAAAAGCACCACAGAAGTAATTGCCATATTATTATGATGGTATTAATAATAACCTAGATTCTTACTAATGTATACTTGTGCAATCTATGGTGGATTGTAATTTTAAATTTTTTATCTTGTTTATTTCAGTCTGCTTCAGAGAAAACATTAAAAATAATTCTGAGTCAAATCTCTGATGTATACCTTTCTGGCTACACTATTGAAATATGGTTGACTAGAAGTTAAGAAAAAAAAAACCTTAAAAAATTTCTACCTACCTCATTAATAATGGTAAAAGTAGGATTTGAATACATGCCATTAAAATAATTATCTAAAGAGAATTATTTACTAATTGATAAACCAATTACTATTTACTAATTAATTGATAAACACTTTCTGAATGATTTTCCAGTTACTTGTCTCCCTAAGGGGCTATAAGCTTCAAATTGAGTACTACATCCACTTAACTGCAAATCAGAAAGCTCAGAAATGTTATATTGATTCTTATCATTCTTTTCACCCCATTCCACCCCGTCAAATGGCATCTACGGTCCTTCTGTCTTCTAAATTTCTATCATCCCTCTTTCCTCTTTTCCATTGTCTGAACTGACGCCCTCTTTTCTCGCCTAACTGGACTCCATTATTCAGTCTCTCTCTCCCTCTCTCTAGCCTTTCATATTGCTGCCAGAATGATCTCCCCAGCAAGCAAGTTGTGTCATGTAATACCTCCCATTTAAAATTTTTAAATTATTGCAGAATGAAATCACTTAATGATTGTACATCTCCATAAACACCTTATTTCTTTTAATCTTTCTGTATCTTCCAGTCATACTATTCATATTTCCTAAAACAGTAACAAAAGATAAACAAGTATTAAGCCCTCCCATCCCACAAGCATTTCGTGCTATTTCCCATGCTTAACTTACCTTCTCCCCAATAACTTACCTAATAATTGCTCCTATTTCTTTAGGATTCAGCTCACCTCCAAGAAGTGTTCCCTGACCTTCACTTCAAATCATCTACATATTGTCCTTCCTGTCTTCTTGGCACCCAGAGTGGTTCTCATTTGTTTAAAAAAAAAAAGTTTGTCTGTTTCTTCTATGAAGCTATATTTTCCCCAAGGGCAGAGATCACAATTTCACTATATCTAGACCCTAGCAAAGCACCTGGCACATGTCTTTCAAATATGGGAAATAGATCAGAAAATAAGTGATGGTCTTAGACGGTAGTCTCAACATACTTTCAGATTCATCAGCTTGTTTAATCCCTGTAACAGGTTTATGAGGCACAGAGCACAGATGTTGTGAAGAACATGTATTTTTTATTGTACTGTACGGTTTTCCATCCCTATTCTGAAAATCTGGGTGATTCTGAAACTAGTTTATCAGATGAAACCCTGAGATGATGAAGGTAATAAAATCTTACCCTTGCCGCTAACAAGTTCACTTGATTTTCACATTTAGATCAGCACCTGTTTCCTCTCTAGATTTTTCGTTGAACAAGATAACTTATGCCATAATATACAAAAATCACTCTTTTAAAGTCAATAAATTTTTTCATCTTTTCAACCATTAGCTCCCAGCAGCTTTAACATGTCAGCTCTAAGAGTTCAGGAACTTTATTACTTCAAAATCACAAATTATCAGCCTTCCTATGTACATTTTTATGCCCCACTAAGAACAAAAAGTACTTTCAAAAATTGCCTCTTTGCAATAAATGCACGATCCTCTACAGTACTGTTGTGATTCGACTTTTTTGTGATATGAAAGCGTCCGGCATCACTCTTGGCAAGTAGTGGGCATTCAAGTATTTTTAGTTGTGTAGGTCTACATTCACAACAGGTGCTGTTCTATTAAACATGCAGAACTCCTGAGCTTCAAATTAATACCAATCACAGCTAATGTACGATCGCAGTGTGCCAGCCTCCTCGTTAATCTCTGGCTATGCTCCCTCCCAGGTAGCCCGTCTCTTGGTAAAACAATTCAAGTCTTTGATCCCCTGCTATGAAAGAACTTATTTCACAACCATCCTCACACCACAGCCAACTTATCTCCTTTTTCTGTACTTTCATCCAGTGTGTTTTAGGGTTGTATTTATAGCCACTACCAAAGTTAAGATTATTTTCCCGAATTCTGCATTGTTAAAATTTTTCTCTGGAAATAGAATAGCTGTAATCCTGAAACGAATGGTATTAAAAGGAAAAGGTTTTGGAATTGTGAGATAAAGCATTTATAAATGCAATTAAAAAAAAAAAAAACTAAATATCCAATAGAGGACTTAACAAAATTATGGAAAGTTATATAATTGTTATATGGCCAGTACAAATGATAAGACTCTGCACATACTGATAATAGAACAGTAAAACTATTTGGTGGAAAAAAAGTCAGTGCCAAAAAAGTATATGGTACATTTTTTAAGACATTTGATAAATGTTTGAAATACTCCATTAAAAATATTGCTTTAAAATGAGCAAAGAACAAAAGGGAAAGTTAGAAAAGATAGGACTGGCTAGACAGTACAGTAACATTACCCATAGAATTTTAAAAACAGATATATCTAATATTAGTCATTAGGGGAACCACAAAACCCCTTCCTTCTCCCTAAATTTGCATAATGTGCCAATTTTACACATACACACATTCACATGTGCAGACTCATGAAAATATCTGAAACAGATTTTTTAAAATGTGCCAACTGAACTTTTATGAAAAGCTTTATACCTTTGAGTATTTTTGCCTATGTACATTACCAATTTTGATTTCTTTTTAAGCCTGCAAGGCAATACCAGTTTCTTGAAGAATCCACTTTCTCCACTTGCCATTTCTTAAACAGGCCAAGTGTGGTCCCTCCTTAGAGTCTGCATCTGCTCCCCTTGCGTGGAATGCTTCTCTCCAGATATTCAAGAGGTTACTGCTCTTCTACCTCAGGACATTTATATATTCTCTTATCTTTTGGAAGGAGATGCTCTCCCTCCCCCCCACCCCACCCCCAATTAAAATAAGCATACCTCCTGCAATGTCAATCTCTATCCCTTTACCATGTTTTACTTTCTAACATTCATTGCCATTTGGCATTAAATTTTACATTTGTTTACATATTTGCTTATTTTCTATATTCACTCACTAAAATATAAGCTCATTGGGACTAGAGCCTTTTGTTCATTTGTTCCCTCCTAACTACTAGAATGGTGCTTGGCACCAACCTAGGGTCAATATGTACTTAGGTGACAAATCATTTGAAAGGTACAATGTATCTGAGAAGTATCTACATAGCACTGACATATTCTGTAGTTTCTCAACCTGGGGGCATCATCTAGTCAGTCCCTGGGGAAGGAAATTTGTAGTACAATTACTAAGAGCCCCCCTTCTTCTTTCTGAAACATACACACACACACAAACATACAATACAACCTCTGGTTGGAAGTTCAAGGATGTTGGAACTACTAACTCCTTCATTAATCTAAGGGAAGCTGCTGACCTCAACAAAGATTACTCAAAAAACACAGAGGACCAAACCAAGTGTGCCTACCGCCGAACTCAGACACAATCTTGTTCATTTCCAGCGCACATTCCAAAAGGAATCCCATTTTCTACTATCTCAAACTCAGATGCCTACACTTTAATTAAACAGCACTAATGCATGTTAACATTTGGCTTTCAGTTTACTGTTAAGTGAATGAAGTGGGGGAAAAAGACGAAACTTCTGCTACAATAGAAAAACATACTCCAGTGATATCTCTTTTCCTTTCAAGGGTAAAAATTTTATTTTTGAGGAACTTCATACTGCACATTTTCAAAGAGAGTCACATAAGAAAGCAAAAATGTTATACTCCCCTCATCCTAGAAATAAATAAGGGCATAAAATTTTCTTTTTAAATCATGACACTTGGAAGTTTAGCACCAGCATCCAAAATGAACAGAAAAGGAAAAAAAAGCATTTACTATATATTTCAGATTTCTTTGGTAGGGGTACACCCCATGTGGTATTAATATTTCTTCTTTCAATTCATATTACCAAAACAGTAAAAACCAGGAAAAAAATATAAACCTAGTGGTTGCTGAAACTGGGGAGGTTGCTCTCTTGTCTTCTGTGCAGGCATTCCCAGAAAAATTGCTGGAAAAAAATTGGCTGACATTTCCTTTTATACTTGTTTCATGAAGAATAGTAAACATTCCAATATCCACATCTTGAGTTATTAGTTTTCCACTTCATTGCTTGGATGTTTCTTTGGTGTTGGTAAGGTCCTCGTCTGCTTTTTGATTTTTTGAATGGTCATTAATTCTTTAGGTCACCTGAAAAAAATTAAAATCAAATTTATAAAGAGTGACAAAATGACCAAGAGTTAAAAAATAAAACGGCAAAAATGATCTGTTTTTTATATAATTCAAAAAACAATATTTCAGAAGCTCTAAACAAAATCGACACATGTATCTTCTATAGATTCGCAAACTACACATTAATCCAATGGAAACAGTCAGTACATACAGTGGAATCACAATAAGATAAGAAGCTAACCTTTATAAAGAGGTTATTCACTATCACGCCCTGTTTAAGCACTTCATATGTGTCATCTCACTAAATCTTTACAACAACCTTAGTGGCCATGTCTAGTTAGTGTCCCCATTTTACCAGCAGCAGACATTATGAGGCAGAGGATAAACAAACTGCTCAGGATCACCTAGCAAATTAGTAGATCCTGGACTGGATACATAAACTTCTTGGTTCGCACACATTATACTGCACTGCCTCCAAATAAATAGTATTGGTTATCAAAAGGAAAAAGAAAGGAAAAAACCACTCTAGCTTATTCTTCAAATTACAGTCGCCTGTTATTAAAATGAGACCTTGTCAAACATGTTAAAATTATCAAACTGGCCACTAGGTGTCACAAAAGTAAAACCTTCACAAGTTTTCTCAAGGGGTATACCATATTAATATCGTAATAGTTAAAACTGTTTCTAGAAAAAAGCATTTGACTCTCATTAACTCTGCCAGAATGTTTGTGTCCCCAAAGCCTAGCAGAAAAATGTGAATCACGGAGATATTTAACCACCAAAACCACTGTCTTCAGATGAGGGGATGACCCCGGTGAATCACGGAATGAGTTTAGACTGCCTTGTACTATTGTTGAGAAATAATGCTATTTAAAAGAAAATATCAACTCAAGCCTGGGCTGCCCAAGCTCTTACCTACCGATGGTGAAGGTGCCTGGGGAGCCTGGTGTTACTCAGCACTGCTCTGCTCGGTGGCTGGAGCAGGGTTCTCAGATGGCGCTTCACCTGCCTTGGTCTAAAACACAAAACCACCACAAACCGGAAATCAATCAATTTGGGTGAGAGTGGAGAGTTGAGACTAAAAGTTCTCAAAAGTTGGAATCTTCTAACTTTTGGAATCTTCCAAAAGTTGAAGGCAAATCACTGTGCAAAATTTTAACTACACTTCAGTATGAGTCAATATGAGCTTCCAAATGACAACACCTCTACTCTCCATAAAAGAAATCCACAATATACAATTACTTTCCACACATTCTTAGAGGCAGGTTCTTCTCTGTCAATTCTTTGTTTCGACAGCCCTAAACATTTTAGCTCTGAATTCCCACTAGCATGGGTAATTCTTTCAGAGAATGTTAATTTAAATTCAAATATTTGGTTTGTGTTATGTACAGGATATACACTCTCTCTCTCTCTCTCTCTCTCTATATATATATATATATACACACACACACACATATATATATACACATATACACATATATACACACATACACACGATCTTAACCAAAGTGTTAATATAAACGTATTATTTTATATAAACGTTACTATAATAACACTGCTATACTTTACATATATTGTAATATATATTATATATATTTCAGTGTCAGATTATAAAACCACTCTTAGAATAAAAAAGAATATTAAACTTTGACACGATTCAGGATAATCTGGCAGTACACCCTCGGCTGGTTGGACTCACCTCTTTGCCATCTTGTGAAGGAGCATTAGGAGGACGGGGACGACGCCGATAGTTGTACGGGCGCCGGTATCCACGGCGAGCAGATGGCTGGTTTGGACCATTGGCCGCTTGTTGATTCTCTTTATCTTCAGCCTCTCCCACGACTGGGGCAGGTCGTGAGCGAGGAGGTCCCCTAGAGCAGGGAACACGAAACAAAAAGAGAACAAGTACAACAGGACGGGAATCCTCGAGAACATAGGTTTTATTCATTTTTAAAGATTAAAAAGTGATCAGTACTTATTGCTAGAATTATGCACAGGCTAATGCAGCACATGGAACTAAGTTTTGGAGGAAAAATCCTATCTTTCCACCATTTCCCTCCTTCGTCTGAATATCTATTTGTAGTGAACAAACATATACTGAACACATACTATGTTCCTACCAGGCCTCAAGACAGGTACTGAGGACAGAAAAATAAAAAAGTGGGTGGTCTGGCATCTGCCCTCCATGAACAGAGTTTAAGGGAGACTAAAGGGATTAAACGTGAGAAGAAAACTAGCACTACTTAGACTATATGCCAGAATGTGTGCTGGTGTGTTTTCATGTTAAGTACTTAATGTCAATGCCAATTCTGTGAGAGTATGAAAAACAAGAGGTTTAGAGAGGATAAGTATTTGGTTGAACTATACAGGATTGCTGCTTTCATAGATAAAAAAGGTCAACTTTCTCAAGATCGCAGCTAGGAATTGACAGAGCTGGGATTCAGATATAGTCCTGTCTCCTCTCTGTTTTCATTAAGACATTTCTATGAAGACTCTTTTATTTGAAAGTCCTTCGGAATTAATCACTAGAGTGATTATGTCTAAAACTGGAATGAATCTTGTGAGGAAAAAGGACAGAGAATGGTACAGATCCTTTCCTCAAACAATACAGTTATTCCTCCTTCAATGAACCCGCGTTGCCAAACTTGAAGGCGGCATAAGCATCGCTCAGGAATGAAGCTCCCATTCCGTACACCTCAGGGCTGGGGTGAACGGAACAGGAAGGCTTACAATGTAGAAAGCTGAAAAGGGGTCTCAGGGAGTCTAGCCCTACTCGCAGTCTTCACAGGGAAAAAGCACAAATAAAATGGCCCACTCCTTCACCAACAATAACATCGTGGGTAGTTAATAATACCTGACATTTACTGAGGGCTTACTGTACCAGGCACCATACTAATCATTTGAGATGCATTTTACATTTAACCCTGCTGACAAGTGTACAATATTCCTTAATGTCCATTTTATAGGTCTGGTGATTACAGTGACCAAGTCTTAGAGAGTCCAGAAACTTGCTAAAGGACATACAGTTACTAATTGCAGGGCAGGAATTTAAACACAATTTCATCTGTAGCATGATTTAACCCTTGTACTAGACTAGCTCGGTTAACAGAATATTCAGTATCCCACTTCCTCGCTGGCACTCAATTCTTCCTACATTTGTACCACTACCATTGAATTACCCATCGACTGTTAATTTCATAAATATAATAAAAAATAAGAATTTATATCATGTAAGTTATCAAATACGAATAATGCTTTGGTACAGGGATAACTAAAAATTCTAATTGTTTAAGTAGGGGGAAAATGTCACAGGGCCATCTGAAAACATATACTGTAGAGTCCCCCCAAAACTTGGACATATAGTCGAAGCAGCCAACTCTTCTGTTATATAATAAATCCACAGAACAGACCCATAATATCCTCATTCATTGTACTGTCACTCACAAGTCCTTCAGCTGGTCATGAGTTAGTGGAAAATGTTACATACCTACGGTACCTGGGACGATAAGTTGGATTTCGATGAACAGGTCCTTGAAGTTGTGCTCCCTCTGGGACTCCATCCTTCATCTCTCCAATCTCACCAGCCTAGAAGGGCAACAGAGCTGAAAATGAGGCTCATGCTACAGGATATGAGAGACACAAAGCACACAGCTGCATTCAGAATGTTTTTTGAAAAGTAAAAAATAAAATGCTTCTTTACAAAGTTGAGAATTCTCAACTATAACAGTGAGCTATTCACTGATTAGATCTTCACGAATGACAGGAAAGAAAAACTCACTTCCACTAGAAGTCTTCTGCCTTATCCAGAGCACTTAATTTTATTTTACAGTATTAATTTTAACATTTTGAAGTATTCCATTCATCCCTTGAAAGAAAATCTATTGTGTAAAAGGAAATGGGATGATATACTACATTTGAGCAATGAAAATTTTTTCACACTTTTCAAACTCAGACCCACTAATTCTACAAACTGGGTATCCCTTCAGTACATAGGCTCTCTTACGCCTCTAAATCGTGCCTTCACCTCTGATTTCTTCCTTTCACAATTTCTCCTTTGTATCTGTTTGCATAATTAAGTATAACATTCAAAAAAATAAAATACGCTTTCTTGATAAATTTATTTTAAGCTGAGGGAATAAAATAATTTTATTGTTGAACTTCTAGGAGAAGAAAAGAAAAAAATCTCTGAAACTCTTTACAACACAGCCACATCTCAACGTTTCTTCTCCATAAAATCATAAAATAGTTTCTACATTCTCTCACTATCAGATCAACCAACCTGCCTACACTTGTATTAATTTTCTTCTCATTACACTGGAAGTGGTCCAAGCTCACGTTCAAAGCCAATCCCTCTTCTCTTGCCTACTAGAGCACTTTAAATCTTTATCCCTCGTTTTCTCTTTCACTGTGTCATCTTCTCCCTTCTCTACTCCATCATTTCCATCCAGGCATACAAACAATGCTGAAATAGAGCCCATCTATTATTTTATTTTGCTGAAATAGAGCCCATCTATTATTATTATTTTATTCTCAATTATTTTATTTTGAAATAGTCGCAAACTTCCAGAAAAGTTCAAAGTATAGAATCTAATCCTCAGAGCCCATTCAAGCTTCCCCAGTATATTCTTTACGTAAAGCAAAAAGACCCACTTAGAACCATGCATTGAATTTAGCTGTCTCCATGTCTGGTACAGTTCTTCAGCCTTTACTCGGTTTTCGCTACCTTGATACTTTTAAAGATGAAAGGCCAGATATTTTGTAAAATACTCCTCGGTGTGGGTTGTTTGGTGTTTCCCTTGCTTAAGTTTATGTATCTTTGGCAGGGAAGTCACTAAAGTGACACTGCATTCTTCTCACTGCATCCTGCTGCATGGAGTACGGTTTCAATTTGTGCCATTACTGACAATATTTGCACGTTGAGGAATAGATAAGGTGGCAGTCTGCCAAGGCTCTTCTGCTATGTTTACTCTTCTTCACTTTGTAATTAATGAGGATTTTGTGAAGAGATACTTTTAAAAGTCTGTAGAAAATACTTTTTAGAAGTCTGTAAAATATTTCATCCCTTATCAAATTCTCAATGTTCATTTATTGATTTATATCTATATAGATTCACGGTTTTCTATTTTATTCAATGAGTTATAATCTGTTACTATCATTACTGGCCAGTGGGAACCCTTTCAAGCTGGCTCATGTCGTTTTGACATGTCTCCAACATTCTCTGAGTACTTCCTTGCTTTCTGGCACAAGATGTTCCAGGCTCATATTGTACTTTCTCTGGCCCAGCTCTGAAACCAGCCATGTCTCCAAAGGAGCTTCTTTTTATTGGAGAACGGTATTTATAAAGCTCAATGCTATATCAAGGTGTCACTGATTTCCGGCCATTTCAGTAGACAGGAATTAAAATACACATACACGATAAGTTACATGTATATAAATGTGTGTATGTATGCATATAAATGTGTGTATATATGTATGGCATTTGATTTGCCCATCTAATGGCATTATGAGTAAGCTGCTGGTAAGGGAAGGCATAAGGGAAACCAGGAGAGAACTCACTCAGTGTAAAAACAAAATCGAATAAAACCAAAACCCTTCCTGACCCCGTATCTTTCTCCAGATACCGCCCCATTTCTGTGAGCTCCTTTACAGACATATATTACTAAAGGAAACCCATCACCACCACCCCAGAAACCTCCTCAAAGTGGAAGAGAATACCTTTTCTTCCTACCCCTTGGCTCTCTCTTGAATTCATTCTAATCAGATTTTTGTCCTCACCATACCACTAACCTCCAAGCTATCAAAGCCAGCAGTCAATTCTCAACCTAAATTCCTCATCGACAGCATTTAACGCAGCATTTCCCTCTTGAAATACATTCTCCCTATCTGCTCCTTCCCATTGGCCTTTGCTGGACTCCTTATCTTTCTAATCTTTAATTGATGTGTCCCAGAACTCAGTCCCAGGGTCGATGTTCCAGCTACACTTATTTTATAGTTAGTCTTATCCTATGTCATGCTTAATTATGTTTTTTATGACTCCAGAGTTATATCTCCAGTTTCATTTCTCCCCTTCAGCTCCCTTCGGCCTCTGCACTTGCCGTTCCCTGGGCCATGCACGCCCTTCCCAACATCTGAATGACTTGCTCCCTTGCTTCACTTAGGTCTCTTCTCATATATAGCAACAAAGACTTTTGTCAACCACCTTATCTAAAATGACACCTTCCTAACTCAAGCCACTTTCTATCCCTTGACTCTGCTTTGTTTTATTTTTCTGCTTACTTGACATCTCCACTTGGAGGTAAAATTTAATGTGGAAAAAGACCTGAAATGATTTCCACCTTTCCCCCGAACCTGGCCTTTCTTCAGTCTTCCTACAGTCATTTCAATCAAACACCGCAGAGGTATTCTTTCGTCCTCACACCGCACATTCATTCCAGCATCAAATGCTGTCACTTTTATGTTTAATACATTCCCTAAATCTAAACACTCATCATCACGCCTCCACTGCCAGCACTCTAATCCATACACGATCATCTCTCTACAGGGAAATTACAGGAGCTGGTCGCCCTACTTGTTGCCTCCTGTGGTCCAGCCTCTACAGTCAATGATCTCTTTAAGTACGTTTCTTTCCTCTTTAGATTCCTTTACTGGCTTTTTATCACATCGATAGTCCTTACCATGGTCCACCAGGCGCGCTTGGTCTACCCTAAGGTATCGCCCTAATCTCACCTCCTATCCCTTTCCTCTTCACTCATACCTTCCCAACCACATGAGCCTTCCTTTAGCTCTCTGAACAAGCAAAGCTGCTTCTTCCTTAAGAACTCTGATTCACAAAAAAAGGACAGATAGAAACAGCTATTAACATGAATAAAGAAGAGAGTTTACTAGAATAAGAGAATGGGAAAAGTATAGGTGGATGTATTGAGTTTAGATCCACCCACTTGAGTGGATTTATTGAGTTTAAGCTCTCCCACTTCTTGCCCATGTAACCTTAGATAATAAGTTGCTAATTGTTTTAAATACTCAAATCTCTTCAACAACAACAACAATAATATGGAAACCATTGCCAACTTCATAAAGGTGTAGGAAAGACTGAGTAAGAATTGATCTCAAACATCTGTCACTTGGCAGACGCTAAACAATATTGCTCCGTTTACTCTATCAAATAATTCTTTTCTCAAAGACTACAAATAGTTGATATTAGCTCAGTAACCAATTCTACTAAATTTTCAAATACACAGAATTATTATCTTTTAAAAAATGGAAGTCATTTGGTCACTGATCAGGGTATATTATGTCCTTGGTACATAAGGGAAATACTATGGGCCTATATATTATCTTCTTTTCCCCATTGTGTCCAAGAAATTTCAGTTTTATATATAGTAGAAAATGTTGACAAAGAGTTTTCTATTTGACCTCGGTAATTTTTACCATCCGAGAGTTCTCTGTATACTTTTAAGCCATTACAATGACAACCTTGAGGTCGCCTAGTTGTATAGAAGAAACTTTTGGAATTTTCACTTGACGCTGTTGGTTAGCTTAAGCAGACCTCTTACTCACTGAACATATAAACATGATATGTAGTAGAAAGAGTCTAAGGAAAAACTGTTGAAGGAATCTAAGATAGCTTTTACTTCAGATATGGAATGAGTAAAAAGTTCAGCCCAAGTTAAAACAACTAAAAGTAGTTCTCAGAATAAGCACATTTTTTTTCAAAATGAGTTTTCAATCAGCTTCTGCAAAGGATTTTCTACATGACATTGAAGTATCGCCTTCAATTCCTAAGGTGAAATATACTTTATTTCAAATAATATGGAAAAGAATCATCATGTTCTCAAAAAATAAGATACATGTGTATATGCTAAATACTAAGAATGATTATTTCAGGAAGGCACTAACATACTAAAAATAAATGTGTATGACAATCTCACTTACTCTTCCTGTCCTCATTTCCTAGAACCCCAGAGCACGGCCCTAAAGGAACCTACTACGCCTCATGTACCCAATCTCTCCATATACGTAAGTCTACTTGTTATTTTTAGCACATTTGTCAGGGACAGCTGTTAAAGCGTGGAAGGGAAAAAACAAGAAGCAATGTAGAAAGAACACAGTCATGCATGATGGGACAGGCGAAGGGTAGCAAAGAACAGACTGAACATAATGTTCAGTCAAAACACTTAGTGGACAGAAAACAAAAACCAAGGACACTTTTTCCACTGAGAGGAAAATTTTGTAGCTAGTGATAACAAAAATGATATCCTATCCTAAGTTTTCCAAGTTTCTGGGAACTGCAAAGTTGGTATAAGGCTTATTAATTACAGGTCAAGTTCACAATACCTGTATTAATATTTTGCAGTAAAAAAGGAGATCGCTAATCAACAATCTCCACTCTATGGTAGCTTTTCTTAATAATCGACACTATCCTATCCAAATTAGAGACTTATTAGATGTTAGCTATCCTGAGGGAGGCATTTTGCTAGTCTTTACTTTTGATTTAATCATCATAACCCCATGGTGGAGGCAGGTTATCATCCCGAGTTAATGGATGGACAAGTTAATCTCTCAAAAGTTTGGTTTTCTCAAAAGTTCACAGATAAAAAGTAGCAGAGACAAGATTCAAATCCCGACCTGCCTGACTTCAGAGTTTAAGCCCTTACACATACCATCTGCTTCTCTACTTTACTTCTTTTATTTTCCTATAAACTAGAAACTGTGCACTATGCACCAGGGTCCCCAATCACAGGCATGGCTCATGTGGTTGTGTTTTTAGAAATGTTACTAGAATGACTGCTCTGAGAATGCAGACAAAACCTTGCCTCAGCTTTTGTAGCATCGGGAAGCAAGGTTTTACTTCCGGCAGCTGGTGTTGGAGGAGGAGGAAGAAGAGGAGGCAGAGGAAGGACGGAGGGGTGAGGACTGCTGAAGAGAAGTCCCAGGTGCAATTTTACCTGCATTCTGTTGGGATGGGAAAAGACCCGTGAGCGACGGTCAAAGGTCTGTCCCACGTGGTAAGGCGGGAACCGCCGCCGGTACTGAGGGCGATACTGGGGGCGGCGCAGCTGACTCCGGGCCCCAGAGAACTGCCCATCAATGGCAGGGGGTTCAAATCCTTCACTGCTGCCGCTCCCTTCCTCCTCCTCCTCCCCAGCGTACTAGCGAAGCAAAGAAACAGAGATTCAGAAAAAGTTTCAGCAAGGAAAGAACCAAAGAATACCATTTAGGATGAATATCACCAAAAGAAAAATACCTCCCCAAAAGAAATAATCCCTTTTATTATACAGACAAAATGCATTTAACCCAGATCATCATGTGATTACCTGGGATAAACTACATTAAGATTAAAGTAGATCTGTGCAGATAAAATACCAAGAAGCAGAAAAGCAAAAGCAATCAATCTATAATGAATTTAATAGTCATCTAATTAGAATTAATGAGTATTAATTGACCAACTACCCAAAGATCATCTACAACATTTATAATATTTAGCACCATCAAATGTGTGTCCCCCAACATTTGCCTCTTCTGGGGCAAAGTTAAGGCAGTCAAGAAAAAATATAGTTTGTAGTGTTATCAAGTTTGTTCTAAATAAATGGTTTACTTCCTGCAGCTATTCTCAAAGTGCGGATGGCGTCTCCCAAACCCTTCAGGGGGTTACTAAGGTCAAACCATTCTCATAGTGCTACGAAGATGCTATCTGCCTGTTCCTATTTCATCCTCTCAGGAGTGTGTGGTGGGGTGTCCTAGAGCTGCAATGACACGGTCTCTCGGTCTCTCGGCAGCCTGAATGCCAAAGGAGATATGAGAATCCAGCTGCCTTCTATTAAATCGGACATCAGAGATTTGCAAAATTGTAAAACAACACCATGCTTCTTGCTCAATTTAAAAACATATAGTTTTCATAAAAAATGTTTTTTGCATGTAACGAGTTTATTTTACATCAATTGAATATCTTTTAAATTTCTGCTTTAATTTCTAATATAATATTAATAGATAGAAACACACATAAACAAAGACTCTTGAGAGCTCAATAATATTTAAGCATCTAAATGGGTCCAAAAACCAAAAAGTTTGAGAACCACTGATATCGCATGATTTTCTTTCTATGTTTAGGAACAATCTTAATTGTACTTTAATATATAGTAATAAGTAAAAGATACGGGCAGTTTCTAAATATAACTCCTACTAACAAAGGGAATTATTGACTCATTTTATATTTTTTCCTGCATTTAAACTACCATACCATATACTAATATTTTATATTAAAAAATAAAAACAGCCAAATATCACTCAAAGAATTTATTTCAAATCTTATTTTAAAGGAGAATATGCAAATGCCAAAGGTAGTCTTAAGGAAAGTAACTATAGTTTTTTAAATGAATAAATTAAAAATTAACAATAACCCATTTCTTTTGGGGATGAGGGTATTTGGAAAAGCTTCAACTATAGCCTCAGCTAGTCTAATTTCAGAAAAATCAAGCCATTCTACACCTTGTAAAACCTGTATCGTCAATTACATAAAGACACAGACTTCACAAATTGTTTTTCTTTTCAGGCTTTTTGTGTCTTTTTGAGTTTTATACAGCCAAAGCTTTCATTAGGAGTTTTCATAACATAAGAGTAATGGCAGCACCACTGCCAAACATGCTCTTGAGCCGTAAGGATTTAAAGACATTACAACAGAAAACGTTTATTCAGGTACACCCTCAGAATTTTGACTACTTTATTTCTAAACATCTTTTACCTGCATGACTTCAGAATTCCCAGCTGAGGAGAAAAGTAAAGGAAAATTTTTCATTAAAGGTTTCCTACCACTTTTACTTCTGAATTAACCTAGGAATCAAAATAATCACAACTAGAGCTCTGTGACTCTGTTGAACTTGAGTTAACATGATTCAGGAAATGCTGTAGCTCACATCTACTCCCACCCCCACGCAGCTTACTACTAAAAATCAAACAGAGTAAGCAAAACATGGGTAAGAAAAATATAGAAACAGAGAAAGAAGATGTAAAGAATGTGATAAAAATCAGCTTGAGCAGGGTGATATAGATGATAGAATGGCGAGGAAAAGCATTCTGGTAAGCAGAAAGATATAAATCTGTCAATGCATAGAGATAAATCATTCTGTCTGCAGATATTTTATTCTGGTGAGATTTTTCAAAAGTTTTCCTTGGATGACTCACATAGCCACAATCCTGTGCTCGCAAAGCATTTTGAGTTTCATTCTATATTGCCAATCCAAGGCGTTAATTCTAGAAACATCAAAAAGTAACTTGAATCTATAGGATCCTCATGACCACAAATGAATGAGACTCTCTTTGGATGCTCTGAGAGTACTTTAAATTGAGCCTCCTGAGAAAAATATAGCCAGGCTTGGTTATAAACCCTTTCACCTGAATTGTTATCATCAACTTGAAGAACTAAAAATCCAGAGAATTACTTATTACTTCTTTACTTTAAAATAAAGGAAAAATGCTATGCTAAATAAAATAGCTACTTAATCGAGAGAAACTTAGTATTTCTGTGGCCAGGACTGTTTATTAGCCTATTCCCAGGCTACTCCCCATTCTTCCCTGCCAGTCAAACACTGATTTTCTTAGCAGTCAAGACTGCCAGTGCCAAGGGATGAGCAGGTTTAGGCCAATCACAGAAATGTCATTCCCCTTTCCCAATAAATGCCACTAGGTTCTAACCAGATAAAAGAGCCCAATAAAGAGAGAATGGCTTTTTGAGACCCTTAATGAAGCCTTCTTGTTACAAGATAATTAAATTTCTAAAATTTGCAGCCTAAGACATACAAACTGATAGAACTTTTGAATGGCAAGTTTCCAATGAGACCAGTGGCTACGGATAAATTCTGGGCACTAAAAATTTCCCATCAACAAAAATAGAAGGAAGGAAGGAAGAAGGAAAGAAGGAAAAGAAAAAGAAAAGGCAGCATTTATTAATCTGTTCCATGTATGCATACTTAATTTTAGATTGAACATGTTTTTCAATTACTGGTTAGGAAGAGGGACCAACATACATTACGGGGAGGTCCACGGCGTCTGCCATAGTAGCCACGTCTGTAACGGCGCCGATCAGCAGCATAACGGCTCCCTTCCACAGGAACTCCATCTGGGCCAGTCACATTGGCAGCTTCTGCACCCTGAGACAGAAAATAAAGATGGCATCAAAATTTAAAAAAAGCTAAACTAACCCACCAAAAACAGCCTTAGAGAGCCAAAGTGTTAAAGACTGGCAAAATGTACTGTCAATTCCTATCGTGACCTCAAAAACACACCCAAGTTTTAATAAGGTGAGCAAGGTATTTAATGTCCTGATTGATATGTATACAGCCTGTTTGCTCACGCAATCTAAACTTTGCCTTGTTTGGTTACGCTAAGTTTAAGAGCAGCATGTACATTTTTAAAGAACATAAACTAATAAATATAATGTAACTGTCAAAGAACTAATGCTAGACAAAGAAAAATAATCCTCAATGGAAAATAACTAAGATCACGTGAACTTCCTAGAAAATGCTGAAACCTACGTTACTCTAAGAGATACCAAGAGAATCCCTATTCGTGGGCTCATGTGGCTGTCCGGCAATGACTTATTGATAGTGAAACTGCTCCCATCTTGGCAGCAATGGGAAAAGAGCATCCTCGCTTTAGTTAGTATAATTTCTACACATGCAGACTTCTCTATTATTCTCAAACAAACTTAGTGTTATCCTCATATGGACAATGGATAAAAATAATGCTTCAAAAAATATAAAAAATTCAGACAAAGGAATTCAAGAGTATATTTTACACCCTACCATCAATGTGTAAAACTTCAAATTCTGAAAACAAACAGGGGTAAAATTAACCTGGCAAAACAAAATTTTAAGAGTTGGATGGAATAAGAGAGATGATTACAGGCCAGCATTTGCAAGAGACCCTGGGGATCACATTGGTAAAGACGTCATTTAAATTTCTATATTAAATAAAGTGTTCTTTTAAAACCAAACAGTTTGGGAGCCACTAAAAGTAAGGACTCTGAAAACGGTGTATATGCACATATGTGGGAAGAGCACATGCATAGGTATTAACTCAGTTTATCCTTCAGCTGCCATGATCAGCTGCCATGGAAGTTGTACCACATACGGTTTTAAAGTGTTTTTATTCTCATTCAATACTGTTTTACTGATCTCTATAATGGATTGTTGATTAAAGACAAAGCATAAAGGACATTACTAATATTGGAATTCAAACTGTAACAGCATAAAGAAAATTCTGTAGAGACACTTCAAGATGATCCATTAGCTTCATCTGAACAAAGCTGTTATGTAGTCTACCAAGAAGCCTTCAGCTTTCCAAAATCCAAGCCAAAGAGAAAACACAATGATTATATTCCATTTGAATCATCTTTTACTGAGATTAAAGCATTCTTTACTGTGTATTATTTATGCAGAAGTGCTTACAAATCACAGCTTGAAAATTTTCTTATTAAAAAGTTAAATTTTAATCCACACTTGCACATATATTTATACCAAAATAAAATATCATTTTAAATCTTGAGAAATTAGCTTTTCCTTCCAGAAATAGGGTTCATCATTTATTAAATGAAAATTTAAAATGTACTTTTATAATATATCAAAGAATATTTATAATAACACCCAGTAATCAAAAATATTTCTACATAAAAGTCACTTCTTCCTGTTACACAAAAAAACCCAAAGTAATGTGAATTCATAAGGGGCTGAGAGATCATTTACAATGTGAGGAAACCAAGTGCCAGCACACTCCGATACCCAGCCACAACTTCTTCTCACCTTCTCTCCTTCCACCACGTCAAACTCTACAGTTTCTCCATCTCCTACACTGCGCAGATATTTCCGTGGGTTATTCTTCTTGATGGCAGTCTGTCAAGAGAAGAGAAAATTCTAAATGACGTATATGTCAACACTGATGACAGATTTCATCATTTTCAAGCTTACTGGGTATAATGAAGAAACTATTGACCTATTATTACTTTTTAAAACTATCATTCTCCTACTAACCTGAATCTCTAAAACAACAAAACAAAAAAACACTATAAAAACCATTCCACATTAACCTCTTGATTTATGTTATCCTTCAGAATTCATCTTGGTAGGTGTATTAAACAGAATGTGTAGATACCACACACTCCTGTTATAGCCTGATCATGACCTACTCATGACGTTAGATATATTGGTTCCCTCAAACTACTAATCTAGCACCATCAGTTGAGGGGGAGGAGTTGGATGCCTTCATGAATCTTACACACACACAAGCACACATTTTAGGTATAAAGCTCTATAGAAAAGAGAAACTGCTAACCTCGAAAAGAATTTTAAAAATGTATGAAGGAGAGGAGGGAAGATGATGAATAGGAAAAAGGAATTAGGAAATGCCAAGGCATTTCTAAGAGAATATACAAAATTACCACAGGAATCACAATATTACTGAAAATCTGGCCTCTGCCCCACCACCCATTGTATGGGTGGGAAAACATGAGGCTAATAAGTAATTTATCTGAGGTTATAAAGATGCAGCTTGGGGAGAGTAGGGGAGTAAGTGGGGGAACTCATATCCCTGTACTGTATCTACATATTTATTTAGTATTTTTCCCACCACATCATGCACATGTCCCTGATAATATATTAAAAGGTCAATGAAGATGTCATCCTGCATTCAACATCTGCACCTAAATATGTGCTTATGAACAGATCTTTCTTTTTCAACCAGTAGAAGGAAGCAGAATAATCCTTGCAATGAATTTCTATTTCCTTCTGGTATCTCTAAATAGTTAAAGGGGCTCTGAGTTTCTATGGAATTAGGTCAACCTTATTTTATAAAGCGATTAGGTATGTGTAATCCAGCCCTTCCCTTACTCCGAGTAGGAGAGAGAGAAAAAAAATTAAAGAATGAGCCAATAGGGCAGAGACTTCACCCACAGAGGAAAAAGGCAGTTCAGGACAGGATATATGCGCACGCAGTTTGAACATTCAGCCATTCCAAAGCCAGCCCCTCCCTGCCCGCTTGTTCCCTTTTTCCTGTTAAACTGGGCAGGCCTCAACACAGTGAGGTGACTCACCACACAGCCTCACGGGGGCTGAAATCAGGTCATATACTCTCAGGCTAACGAAGCTGGCCACAAGTGCAGAAACTTGTGAGGTCTTTCAGTCCAACAGTCACCAAACGCAGAGTTCTTACCCCCAAAAGATCTATTAACCTCTTGGTATTATAACCAACACTTCCTTTCAGTTTGTTATGACTTTAAAAGTCATTGTATGTAAACAAAAAATCTACTCAAATTATCTAGGTATAACTCAAATATATCCAAGTCAAGCAGAGATATAAATGACAGAAACCACAACTAGAAAGCTTATTCTTAGATATCACTATCTCCAGTCACCACACTCCACCTCAATACACACACAATCCTAAACAAAAGAAAATAAAAACACTGACAACCAGATGCTTGCCAGAGCCCTGCAGGTAAATGTGCCGGTATTAGAACCTGGCTCTGAGCTCCTCTGTTGTTATACACTTAGAACTATGGACATATTGGATTCAATTCATTGAAAACTAAATATAGAAAAAGGACAGTAAGGGTAGGTATTTTTTCTTTTAACCTATTTTGTAAAGCAAGAGCAGGATTCATGATAAGAGAATAAATAACATCCTAGGCTAATAATGTAAAGAAAGACTGAGATACCTGCAGCAGAGAAGCCCATGTTTTCCATATTTTACCCATCTTCTACACTGGCTTCGAATTTAAGGGAGTGTGGGGCTTTTGGCCTGACCATGTGCTAACAACCAAGCCTACCTTTGACAAGAGCGAGGACTATCCTAGGAATTGTGAGTTTTCTCATGTCTTGAATACATACGCCCTAACTATCCACTTCGCTGTGCTATTTACTCCAAATTAGAACTGCTCTGATAGAGGAGCTTTAACAAATACCCACCTAAGCAAAACCAAGACAGTTCCAGCCAAATATTATGGGGGAACCACACAATCAAGAGAACAGGATGCCGTCATGGAAACAAAAGGTTTTTTTGCTAAAGACTCAAAGGCTTTAGAGTGATATGGGGGTTCAAAGTATGTACTAAAAAGGCCTTAGATGTGGCACATAAACCAAGACCTAGGGGAAGAGTATTTCAGGCACAAGAACATGTGGGAACAAAGTACATTCCTGGGAGGGAAGGACAGTGAGGCTAGAACTCAGTGACCAGTGGGGAGGACAGTAAAAGATGAAGCTGGGGAGTCATAGTGAAAAGTTACAAAGGGCTGTGTAATACCCGGTGAGAATTTAGATTCTCTTCCAAATACAATAGGAAGGCTTGGAAGGTTTTAAAAGAAAAGACTGTGTCATGGAAGAGACATGATCTGATTTGCTTTTTAAAAAGACTTCTGTAACTGCTGTATGGAGAAGAGCCTGGGGATTGGGACAATAAAAAAAAGAAAAAATTAAAAAAAAAAAAAAAAAAAAAAGGCTTTAAAAATTAAAAAGCGGTCTAATCAAATATTACTTCATTTCATTCAAATTTAAAAACTCTTTGAAAATAGTTATTGTGATGGGACAGAAGAGCTTATCTGCCAACCTTAAAATGTGGGATTGAGCTCTTGCCAAAATAAAATCACAGAAAGAGTTTATGGTAGAATAATGATGTATAGGATGACATTCAGGAATGGGAAAACAACACAGTACCAACACCACCCTCTCCACACATATAAAATGTAACATTTATTACCCCCTTACCTGATGTACAAATACATCTTCTTTGGTGTCATTTCTGTTAGAAGAAAAAAGCTCACAATTAAAAGGTACTAGGTAGGTGGAAAAACTTAAAAAGAATAGATGTTTTATGAGTTTAGATCTCAAGACTTTGAAACACAACATACATTTTTGTTTATTCTCTGAACTCAATTCGGATGCCGGGAATCAATCCCCATGAAAAACTGCTAAACCCCCAAGATACCCACCTTACTCTTCCTCATTACCACAGTGCTTAGATCCGAGGGTACAGATTCAACACACAGAAACATCCCTTTCCTCTCATCTCTTTCTAAATCACGTGGTATGTAATCAGAGCCCCAGATTTCTCTCCCAGCAAAAGCAAAGCAAGACAGTTAAAAGGACAGAGCACAGCTGTGAACTAGGCTCTCCTTACACTGAAACCTAAAACAGTCCCCCAACCACCACCCCACTCTAACTCCTCCTTCCCCACCCCCACCCCCACTCCCCCCCAAAAAAAACAGGCAAGGAAGAAATTGGAGGGTTTTTTTAAGTGTGTGTGGAGGGGATGGTTGAGGTGGAAGGGGTACAAAGAAAATTAAAATATCACATAAAAACATATTTCCAAGAGCTTGCACTCACATTCTCATTCTTATATGATTAGAAGTTACCATGGTTTAAAGAAAACACTACAGTTTCTACACAGGACTTGGACCAGACCTGGGTTACAGATCCAGCTCAATTACTCACTAGTTGTGTGACCTTAGGAAAGTTGCTTAACCAGTCTAAGACTCCATTTCTCCATCTGTGAAATTATGGATATGAAGTCAATTATCCTAAGGCCCTTCCCATTTCTTATTTATCCCCCCCACCCATTTTTTTCTTTTAATAACTAAATTTTATAAAATAAGTTATTTATCAATGTTCTGGCAATGTATTCTAACTAATATTTAATGACCAGTATCTTAGAAATGAGATTATTTACAGCACTTACAAATCTTAAAAACTCATACAAGCCATTAATAAAGTATGGTGAAGAATTTTTAACTGCTGGTGCCACAACATAGCTATGTTTTTAAAATATGTAAAGATACAAACACACATACCGATTTATAAATCCATATCCATTTCTGACGTTGAACCATTTGACAGTGCCAAGGACTTTGGTGGCTAAAATAGGATTAAGCAGATAAATTAGTAGCTGACCTACAAAGAGATAAAGCTCATATCACTAAGGTCTTAATAGCATTATATAAAGCCCAAACATACCCAAGGAAACCATTAAAAGCTTAATTCCAAAATATATTAGAAAAAGAAAATGGAGCAAGTGAAGCTATTATAAGGAAATACTTTCAAAAGAATAAAACTTTCTTCCCTGTTAAAACTTTTATATAGTCATAAGATAAAGACTGGTAATAAATCTATACAATTCTGCAGTAATTAAAATTGAGAAATATCGTTAAAGGAAAAACAAAAAAAAAAATGTTCTTCAAGATTATAGTTTAACAGAAAAAAAATGTTCTAAAGTGCAACAGAAGGGTCACAATGAAAGAGAATGTAGATAAACAAGGTAAGCACAAGTGACCTTAACACATTATTTTCACACTTCGAAACACTGGCAAACTTTATTAAGTGAAATAGTAGTTCCTTGTTAATAGCTAATCTACAAACACATAACATAAAGTATCTTGTCTAGTTGCCAGTTGGGGGCCTATCAGAGGAGTCAAGAGTAATAATAGAACTGATGCTGTCTCAATCCAGTGCTGTACTCACCACCCTGAGACATGATGTAACAGGTCTTTTCAAAACACAGTGATGAATTTGGGCTTCTGTTTCACTGTTTACTCTCTGCAGTTGGTGGGAATGAAATTCAGTATTTTCTATAAAGTCTCCCTCTTAAACATGATTATTGTATCCACTTTCCATCCCGAGTAGGATCACTTCCGTACAACACCAAATTTTAACAGAATTTAAGAGAAGTCATCTAAACAAATAGTATGGTCATATTAACTTGTCCTTTGTAGATTCATATTTGTTACAGTTATCAAGTAAAATCTGAGGGCTCCTTTGAATCAATTTTGAATGCCAAATTCAGTACCTCTAAGAAATGCCTATGTCTGAAGTCAGGAAATGCATAAAGAAATTATCAAGATTCAATGAAACAGGAAATCTGACAATAGAGTACCTTAAAAAAGAACTTAGTAGAGAATGAGAGTAAAAATTAATATTAATCCATGCTGAAATCTCCATGAAATACAAAGTTTGTAATTTCCAAGGATAAACAATAAGGATACAGTTTTTAAACTCAGCACTAAAAAACAGTAATTAGGATTTGCTCTGTTGTGGGTATAGTTAGTTCTTAGTTTTGCTAGGTATGCTTGAGGAATATTTTAGCTCTTTGTAAAAAGAAAAAAAAAAAAACACTACTCTTCATGTGTCCAAGATCATTCAGCCCACCACTGACAGAGCAATCTCTAACTCCGATTCCAAATAAGGAAGATGTCTCCAATGAAAAACTTAAACCATTGGCATCTTCAGTTTTAGGCCATTCTAATTAGAGCAGCTGGGCAAAGAAGAAAAAAAATGTTTTAGATCCAAATGTACACTGAAGTAGCCTGCTTTTGATAAATCATATGCTTTTAAGTCACACATTACCTCAAACGATATATTTTTTGTGTCTCTTTTTATGTGCCCCCCAATTAATGACCTGGGAAAATAAAAAGCTAGGAACTGTTTTCGATTCATTTTCATAAAAGTTAATGTCTACCACTGTCAAAGATATAACCTTGATTAGAAAGGCAACACTAATACAATGAGGAAAAGATAAAAATTGATTCAAGCCTAACCTCAATCCAGGCTGAAGGTTATTTCTCTCCCCTCACCCCACCCCATGTAGTTTTAAATTTTCTCCTAATTCCACAAATATTTTCAACAACTTCATACGGCCAAACACATTCATACACACTTCTTGCTTTAAACCCTAAACTCACTTCACCTACACAAAAGGGCAAAGGGAGGATAGAGGAAGGCCATAATGGCTTCCATAATGTTCATTAGAAGGGAAGTGTTTCACTCAGGTAAACTACTTTTCCTGGCCTATGGCTGTATGTACACTGAAGTTAAAGACTGTAAAAACTAGAATGGGAGAATCCAAAAAAACCTGAATTCCATTTCAGTTACTAATGTGCCCGGCACATTTTAGGCACCCATGTGTTTGCTTGGCAAAAAAGAAAAAGAAAAAGAAAAAGAAAGAAAGAAAAGAAAAGAAAAAAACGAGATGGCAGGACACAGAGAACAGAGACAAAGTGTTGAAAGGTCACATAGAAAGCTGCCCTTCATTTTGAGAGTTGGAGTTTCAGTGGAAAGATGAAAGACCTCCAGAATCATCACCAGGATGTAGTAGAGGCTTTAACAGCAATTGGTGGCTGAGAAAGTTAACTTTACCCGTTTCTTTCATCTTTAAAGATAGATATCTGCTTTAAAAATCCAGAAGGTCAGTTTAGATCCAGAAGGGGTACGAGAATCAAGTGAATAACTGCAAAATTCCTTTATTACAAATAGAATTTAAAGGGGGAGGGGGGTATATCTTAACACCACTTTGGATAACCCAAGGTTGTCTCTCTGACACATTTTGCATGAAGTGTTCCAAGAAAACACTTGTTGGAAACAATATCACAGTTCAGTATTGGCTAGACTTAAGCAACTTTTAGTCCAGCAAAATGAGAGCTATTTTGTTTCTTAACCGACACAGGTTACATTTAGCATGGGCAGTCAATGAGTAAAAGCCCCAGAAAAAGAAACAGGCCTCTCGAGGTGGGGAACAAGGAACTATACTGTGCTTTCTTCACATTATTCCCTCAATGTTCTTCCTAAGAAATTTGGCAGGCAAGGATCAGAGGGATCAAACACACTGCACTCAAATGCTGAAAATTTCTCTAAAGCATCCTACTAACTTTCCTGTTTAAGAGAGTGAGTGATATATGCACACACCCTTGAGAAAGCTTATTTATTCACCACCCACCTGCTTTGTAAGCCTCTTTAAGGCCTCACACAGGGCGTTACTTGAGAAGGCTGCACGTGACAAAACCAACAATGACAACAGAAACCCTTTCTAACGCTCTGCTCCCAAACCCGAACTTTTCATCAGACTATTTCCTTTCCTAAGTTAAATGTCCCAAGATAACGATGTTCTAAACAAACGTCATACCCACACTTCCTAAAAAGTTTTTTCAGCTGCCGCACCACGAGCGTTCCCCACAGTCCAGGAAGAAGAAAAGGCGTAGCGACTGGTAAACTGTGAATGGTTCTTCGCAGCAGTGGGCACAGGGAGGGAGGAGGACGTGGGACCAAGATCCAAGAGAATTGCAACACCTCTTTCCCGACATGTGGCCGACAGACGCATGGCGCCTTTCCCGTGCCCATGTGGGAAGGGCATCAGGGACAGACACCTGAGCCTCCCCAGCAAGAAGTCTTTCCACTTTTTCCTCCCCGTCTGCTTCTGGGGCCTGACTCTTCCCCAAAGGAAATCCTCCCCACACCCAGATCCTGAGCAAGGACTCCAAAGTCGCCGTCCCACGTGTCTGTTCCTCCCCTACATCCACATCCATCCCTCCCCTGGGTCCCCTCTCCCAGGCTGCCGCTCCTTTCTTTACTCTTTGCACCGAGGCATTTACCACTTCGGGAAGGGGTGACAGTGTCTGGCTAGGCGACCAAAGTTAAGACCCAAACTGCTGGCCCAGGACCAAGAGGAACGCGCACCCGGCAGCGAAGAGCGCAGAGCGCCACGCGCTCACCTGGGAGCTCCTGCAGGACGGGCGCACTGCGGCCGCGACTCTGGGGACCCCAGGTCCCCGGGCACCCCGAGGTCCCCGGGCCCCCCGTACGCTCAGCTC